AAAAGTGTGAAAAGTAAAGATAAGTAAAAGGAAAGTGAAAAATCTTGTAGTTCTATAAGATACACTGAATGTTTGGTACCAGAAAAATGTGAATTAAAGCAATGGAGTATAACTATATATGTAAGACTGGAAAATATTGCAAATCTAGTTAATGTTAAATGTTAGTATAGTCATGGAATACACATGTTTGGATGGGGTAGTACTAACTATAAAGACAAATATTTTGAAAATTCCATGATTAAAAACACTCAAGATTTGAATGAATGATGATAGAAGACATCTTTCTCTTGTTTCTGATTTCTGAGTAAGAATGTTCAGATTTTGTTCATTTAGTATGATGCTGTCTGTTGGTTTGTCATTGATGGCTTTTATAAGGTTGAAATAATGATGATTTGTTTCAATCTTCTGTAGAAGTTATTTTTTTTTTAATCATGAATGGATGCTGGATTTTTTTAAATTTTTTTTTTTCTGAATCTATTGAGATAATTATATGTTTCTGTCTTTTCCTCTGTTGATAGTGTATTACATTTATTGGTTTGCATATGTGAAAACATCTTTTTATTCCTGGGATGAATCCCACTTGGTCATGGTATATAATCTTGATGATTTTCTGAATGCAGCTTGATAGTATCTACTGAGGTTTGTTGCATCTATGTTCATTAGGGAGATTGGTCTATAGTTCTCTTTCTTGATGGGATCTTTCTCTGGTTTTGGTTATTGAGGTAATATTTATTTCCAGGAGAGATTTTGAGAGTGTTACTTCCCTTTTTATTTTCTTAAAGAGTTTGAGAAGTAGAAGCATTGGGTTTCCTTAAATTGCTTATTGAATTCAGCAGTGAATCCTTCAGGGCCTGGGATTTTCTTTATTGGTAGTTTTCAAATTGTATCTTCGATTTCATTGACTGATGTTCATTTATTTATAATTTTTATATTTTCTTGATTGAGCTTTGGTAATTTATTTGTACCTAGGAATATGTCCTTTTCTTATGTGTTTTCCATTTTATTAGGATACAAGTTTTCAGAGTAGGTATTGATAATTTGGATTTCCACAGGATCTGTTGTGATTTTATCCTTTTCATTTCTAATTGCATGGACTTGAGTCTTTTTTTTTTTTAATAAGGTTGGCCACTAAGGATTTGTCAATTTTATTTGATCTTTTAAAGAATCAAACCTTCAATTCATTGATTCTTTATATTCTTATTCACCATTACATGATACATAAACATTACAGTGCTAACAGTAGCATTACCAGAAGCTAAGCTGATAGCATACCACAAAGTAGTCATTGTTGACTCCATCACAAAAAAAATCTGTCTGAACAAAGCAGACAGGGTAATGATGTGGCCTGCAGGTATGAAAATTAGGCTGTTTATTAGTAAGGGACATACATCATTTCTACCTATAATATTTTTTTTTCCAGAGGAAAGGATGAACGCAGTCCCCACCACCACAAATTATGCGGTCGAGGTTTCCACATTTGGGGAAATCGCAGGGGTCAGCACATCTGGAAGGCAATGGATAAGCCTCGCCCTGGTAAAACAACTTTTGTGATGATGGCATCTTCCCTGCCAGGTAGATATTCTATGTATAATCATTTGGCCAGAAACAGAAATATGTCTTCAACAATATGAAATCAGAAGAAAGCTTATGTATAATTTTTTTTCTTCTTTTTTTTTTTTTTTTTTTTTGTATTTTAGGTAAGGGTCTATAGAGCGTTCAGGGTCTCACTACTAGATCCGACTCATAGTGATCCACCAGTTTACAGCCTTTTGAGAGTTGGGATTACAGGCATGTGCCACCATGTCCAGTCTCAATTGTCTCATCATGCCCCAGGGGTTAGGGCTGGTACGGCAGGCCTGGGAATCGAACCCTGGCCTCTGTGCCTGCTTGTAGATGCTTTAATCCACTGAGTTTATATATAAATATTTTGAAGTACAGACTCCTGTTCACATTTTACACAGCAATCTGGTAAATATTAAATTAAGTACATGCATGCATTGTAAATCTATTCTTGGTGTTGTATCATTTTTCTCTCTTTTAAGGTGAATCAAATCTCTTTTAATTGTTCTTGGGTTAATTTGGTGATCACTTAGTGTTGTATATCCTTCATTATATTAGAAGTTGTAAAAGAATACTTGCATTGAAACTATTGGTACAACTGAAGAAAGAGTCTTGGAAACTTTTTTTATCTTTCTTGAGGAAAGTAACCTGCTTCTCTAGCAAGCAGGAGATCCTGGGTTCAATACTCAGCACCAAAAAAATTAAAAAAAAAAAAAAAAAAACCAAACCCTAAAAACAAGTATTCTTTGTCCAGAGAGCTCTCTTTTTGTCTGGGATGAACAATGACCAATTCATTGCTTGCTTTCAGCCTAGGCTTCTGTTAGTGTTACTATTAACACTGTAATGTACATATAACATGTAATGGTGAATAAGAAAACAATACGAAGAATCAAAGAATTGAAGGAGTGGTTTTTTGAAAGATTATATAAAATTGACTATATTGGGGCTTTTTGTATTTAGGATAGGGTGTACAGGGTGTATAGGGTCTCACTGAGGAGAATGGACTCATAGTGATCCTCCTCTTTATAGCCTCTCAAGCGCTGGGATCACAGGCACACACAACCACGCCCAGTCTCAATTGCTGTCTCAATCACACTCTGGGGGCAGGGCCGGCACAGCAGGCCCAGGGATCAAACTCCTGGCACTTGCCTCTGCCTAAGCAGGTGCTTTAATCCTCTGAGCTATTTGGTCAGCCAGTTGACTATACTTTTTAATGATGCTATATTTTTTTATGAGCAGAATGTATTTATTGGAAGAAGAAAGCTCCAGTTTGAGGGAGGGACAGAAGGGGGCCTGAGTGGGTTGTCTCCCAATGATGCCATATTTGTTGCTGTTAAAAATATAACAACTCAAAAGTTAGAGTATCTTTCCCATAAATGTTTCCTAGTAATATATAGGAGGCATTGATTCTTGGTTTAAGAATTAAATTTTTTCCTGGTTACCTTGCTTCCTCTTTACTCATTTGCATATACTTCATCCATTCTGTGGTCCTGGGAGTATTATTCTAATTTTT